AGAGAACTGATGGTGAGATTGATAGCTAAGTACTGCTCCTAATAATACTGGAGTGAGGGAGGCGGAGAGGGTCCATGGTCTTACAGCTGTTAAATAAGGATGATTGAGCATGATGGAGTGAGAGAGAAAGAGGGAGAAAAGCGAATAAAAGAGAGTATGAAACTCTTCTGATATGATCCTGATACACGTGTGACCGCACCCACCTAATTAGATCTATAAATACAAAAATTTACTTTAAAAGTAAAAATTTTAGCCATTTTTGATCATTGATGAAATAAAATTTATTATGAGGTCTTTAGTCAAATACCCATATACTAATTTTGTAATTGGCTCTGTATTTATTCTTTATTTTGTGCAAAGAATTTTAGTTTAAAAATTATCATAAATAATATTTTTACATCATGAACTGATACTGGTCTCACTGCTACTCGCAGTGGTATTATTACTACTATTGATGTGTTCTAGTAATTCATTGGATAACAAGGTGTCCTGGACTGATATTGTTAGTATTTGATCCCCAGGGACTATAGCCAGTCCTAGTGTTCTTATGTTAACAGTCTCACTCGTGTCACGATTTTTAGCTTTCACTAAAAATAATGAGAAAATAAAGTAAAATGTGAACAAAGGGGTTTGATAAGTGTCTACTCAAGGCAACCATTATTATCTAAATATTCTTTCTAAAAATCTGTGATTTATCAAGAAGTACAACTACAGGGTTTCCCACAGGATTCTGGCATAGTGCTAACTAAGTGGATTTTTAAGTTGCTTCAAAATTGGGCCAAAGTCCCTGTACTATATAGTACATGGTCTCGGGCCAAATTTTGCCAAAAATGAAAAGTAGAGAATTCTCAATTTTTATAACATTCCCTGATACATATACATGTTCTTATGTTGTGTAGAAAGTTTGAGTTGATTCCGATCAAAATTGGATTTTTTACGAATTTTTAAAGTTGCTCCATAATCAGGCCAAAGTCCCTGTAGTCATGCTGTTTAGCTCAGTTAGCATGCTTTGTAGGAAACCCTGACATTTTATCAATCGCAAATTTAATTCCCAGCTATTAATTTCCACTATTCAACTTTAATGTCTAGCATAAACAGTTCGTTCTATTATTTTTAAAAATTAATATCATTATTAATTTTAATAAAACAGAGAATAAGGCCTCACCAACGTCTTCTTGTGTGAGAAATTCCTCACAGTTACTTAGGACAACATTACAAGAGTTATCAGTGCACATAAAGTGCCCGTCAATCACTCTCCCGTCCTTTATACTGATCCTCAACCTCTTATTGAGCAAACTTTG